AGCCTCCAAAGGCCCCCAAGGAAGTCCCGAGAGGCCTCCAACAGGCCCCCAGGAAGCTTCCAGGAGGCCACAAGGGTGCCCCCAAGAGGCTCCAAACAGGCCAGCTCCTCCTCTTCATCATCACCCTTTTTCTCCCTGTCCTCTTCTTCTTTCCCTCCCAAATGCTCTGTGGACGGGCTTCCACAACGGCTGGGGAAGCCCGTGGTCCGACAGGTTGGCCGAGCTGTGGCCGCAACGTCTGGCCACACAGGCTATTCCAGAAGACAGCGGCGCCGGAGTGGGCCTCGGATAAAGCGTGGTGAAGCCGGATGAAGCGGGACCAGGCGGGATGAAGCGGGATGAAGCCGGATTTCGGACCAGGGCAAGATCAGAACTGGACCTCCCAGAGCTGCATCCGAAACTATGAAGCGATCCGTGCGGCGCCAGCTGTGTGGCGCACCCGGAGAGGCCAGCCAGCGCACGGAGCAGTCAGGAGGCGCCCGCGGGCAGGCGCTGGCCGGACACACGGCCAGCGCACGAGAGACGGCCGCGGGGCGCTCCCTGCGGCGGGCAGCGGCTGGACTCTGGGCGAGCCCACCCCCAAAAGCGGCCAGGAAACGATGCTCCTCGAGCCTCCCCGATCCTCTGCGATCCTCCTCCTGCTCCTCCTTCCCGATCCTCCTCCTCGAACCTCATCCTCCACTCCCCTCGACCCCCGCTTGCAAGCGCCCCCAGAAAGGCCTCGAGTTAAGTCGAGCGTGCCCCCGACGAGAAATAAAAATTAACCCAACAATTTTCTAAAATGGTCAAAAATCTATGTTTGAACATTCAATAGAGGGACACGCCCGACTTAAGCCTCGAGCAAAACGATCACCAGGTCGAGAAGGGAAATGAAACGGTCAGGAGCTTTTGCATAGCGCGTCGCGGTGGCGGCCCCGGCGACACGCTCTGCGCTGCGAGTGGATAGCGCGTCGTCCCGCTGCGTGGGGCGGAGGGCTGAGCAAGGCTCGGGACGTTGAAGCCTGGGGACTGGGACGTGGAAGGCGTCTTGCGCAGAGACGTGGTGGGCCAGAACCGACGGAGCGACACGCTAAGTAATCACGGTTAAAAGAAAATGTGGCCCCAGAGAGGACGGGACGGAGCAGGCCTGGATGGGAGGGTGCCTGGACTGGAACAGGCCCGGATGGGAGATCACCTGAATATAGGATGCCGCTTCAAAAGATGCGAGTTGATACAGGGATCGAACTGCTCAGACTGTGTTGACTAAGATGAGGGTGGGAACTGCCGCCATCAGATGGAAGCTATTAGCGCTTGAGTTCTGGAATTCGTGCTCGGGATAATCATCCAGGTCTTACCACCTCCCACACCTCCTCCGCTGAGTTCACCTCTTCCTCCTTGTCTCCCTCCTTCCTTCTCCCTCCTTTCTCCTCCTTCCGCCTCCAATCCCAGCACCGCCCTCTCCTGGAGACCCCTGGCGGGCCAATAGGATGTGAAGGAGCGGAATCCGCCGGCCCCCTTGTGGGGCCACCAGGCTGTAGGAGCGGGATTCGCAGTTTCCTGTACCAGTTGTAGCTTGTAGTTTCCAGTGTTACAGTTCTGCTTATTGCTGGTTACTGTAACTAGTTGATTGACCGCGCGAGGGGGGGGGAGGCCCAAACCGGCTTTTTAGCACCCCCTGGGCGCGTTGTCTGAATTGCTGGGGGGGCTCGAAATCGACACCCCTCACGCAGATCCGCGGGGTCAGGGTCCAAAAACACATGGGATTTGCCACATTTCTGAAATTCGGTGCCACCCCTCACGCAGATCCGCGGGGTCAGGGTCCAAAAACACATGGGATTTGCCACATTTCTGAAATTCGGTGCCACCCCTCACGCAGATCCGCGGGGTCAGGGTCCAAAAACACATGGGATTTGCCACATTTCTGAAATTCGGTGCCACCCCTCACGCAGATCCGCGGGGTCAGGGTCCAAAAACACAGGGGATTTGCCACATTTCTGAAATTCGGTGCCACCCCTCACGCAGATCCGCGGGGTCAGGGTCCAAAAACACAGGGATTTGCCACATTTCTGAAATTCGGTGCCACCCCTCACGCAGATCCGCGGGGTCAGGGTCCAAAAACACATGGGATTTGCCACATTTCTGAAATTCGGTGCCACCCCTCACGCAGATCCGCGGGGTCAGGGTCCAAAAACACATGGGATTTGCCACATTTCTGAAATTCGGTGCCACCCCTCACGCAGATCCGCGGGGTCAGGGTCCAAAAACACAGGGGATTTGCCACATTTCTGAAATTCGGTGCCACCCCTCACGCAGATCCGCGGGGTCAGGGTCCAAAAACACAGGGGATTTGCCACATTTCTGAAATTCGGTGCCACCCCTCACGCAGATCCGCGGGGTCAGGGTCCAAAAACACAGGGATTTGCCACATTTCTGAAATTCTGCCACCCTCACGCACATCCATCGCAAGGCGTGGTAACCCAAACTGCGAGAACTCCCTCGGCCCTTTAATCGCAAGGTGTGGTAACCAAGCCCGTAAACCATACACGTCTTACCAATCGCCAGGTGTGGTAACCCCTCTTGTGATCAGTTGGTTTTGCTGATTGCGAATCGGCTTCGCATGAAGTTTCGATACTGCTTCACGACAGCGCCAAGGCCTCATGACTTAGCTCTTCCATGGCCCATTCTCCGAGAGAGGGGGCCGGCGGCAGGGGGCGAAGCCCTTACGGATAAATATCCTCACCGTCCCCTTCCTCCCCCCCAAAGAAGGAGGACCATGATTGATGAGGATCGGTAATTCAACGAGCACGAGGGCGAGGGAGCGAAGAGGGCCTCGTCATCGAGGGCGATCATCATCATCATCATCAGCATCACCATCATCATCATCATTATCGTCATCACCATCATCGATCCTCGTCATCGTCACCATCATTGTCATCATCAGCAGCATCAACATCATCACCAGCATCATCACCATCATCATCATCATCAGCATCATCATCATCATCATCATCATCATCATCATCATCATCATCATCATCACCATCACCATCATCATCATCATCATCATGATCATCATCATCATCATCATCATCATCATAATTATCATCATCATCCGCATCCTCATCGTCATCGTCGTCATCATCATCATCATCATCATCATCATCATCATCATCAACATCATCATAATCAGCATCGCCATCGTCATCACCATCGCCATTGCCATCATCATCAGCCTTATCATCAGCACCATAATCAGCATCATCATCACCATAGTCATCATCATCATCATCACCATCATCATCATCGTCATTGTCACCATCACCTCTCCATCACCAACGACAATCGATCATCACGGCATCAGCACCATCATCATCAGCATCATAATCAGCACCGCTATCACCATCGCACGCACGCAATCAATCATTCACGCAATCATGCGGAAGAAGTCTCGAGTGGGAGCCCCGTCCGTGAGTTGGTTGCGAGGAGATCTCGAGCGGGGTCCCCCTCTATATGGGGCCCGCAGATCATGTTGCCAAAACTGTAGTCTCGGGCGGGAACCCGCTCCCAATGTTGGCCCGCAGATCGTGTTAATAATACCAGCGGGAGATTCAAAACATGTCGTCACTGTTTCCCCCCTGAGGCTTGAATCGTGAGGACGTCTGCAGCGGGGGCCGTCTGTGGGTGAACAGCGATGAACTCTCTAGCGGGAACCCCCGTCTCTGTGGGGCCCACAAATCAAGTGATTGACCGAGCGAGTCATTCGAAATCTGCAGCTGTCATCACAGTTAGGCCGCTATGGCTCGGAACTGCACTAAGTTTCAAGTGGGGGCCTGGCGTGTGAGTGGATTGCAGAAAAGTTTCAGACGGGAGCCACCTCTCTGCAGGGCGCCGCAATATTTGGTACTAATCCGAGCAGGTCATTCGAACCCTGTGGCTGCCATCGCGTTTGACATCCCAAGGAACTCCAGGCGGGAGCCTTGTCTCATCTCGCCGTCGATCGGCGGGGACCTATGGCGCGGGCAGGTAGACGTCGTGTCGAAATTGTCAATATTGCAGAACTCCAGGCGGGGGCCTTGTCTGTGAGGGAATTGAAAAGAAAGTCTCAGGCGGGAGCCCCCCTCCCTGTAGGGCCCGCAACTCAGGTTACCAGTCCGAGCGGGTCATTCAAAACCTGTATCTGTCGTCAAAGTGGGCCCCTGGTGCTAGATTATTGAGGGAGTTCTGTGAGTGAGCTGCGAGGGAACCTCAGGCGGGAGACCCCTCCCTATGGGGTCCGCACCTCAAGCCCCGAACCCCAAGAATGGGACAGGAAGAACGTGATAATTACTCTGGCAAGCGAATGAGATGTTCATGTGAGGTCCAACCTTCGGAATAATCCTCTGCACGCCTCAACAATGGCTTCGGCTTAGACTACGGGTGCACTGCGAAGCGCCTTCGGACCAACTCATCCGAGTCGGTTTGCCGTTTGCGTGGGTGCCTCCCTCCCTTCCCGATCCCCCATCCCTCCTCGACCTACGCCCCCTGACTCCGCCTGCAGGATTGCTTCGCGAAGCCGGTGAAATTGTGAAGCGACAGCGGCGAAACCAACGCACACCGATGCCGATCCTTACCGAACCGCTCCCAAAATGTGGTCTGACCCCGATTTCGGAGCCAATCCGGCCACGGCGACGAGGGCCCCCCCCTCGCGGAGGCCCCCCCCTCGCGGAGGCCCAACACGTCGAGAGCGAGGGAAGGAAAACGGTATCTGCACTTCTAGGGGGCAGACAAACCTACCTCGCTTTTGACCACCCTCGCTTCCAAGAGATACCAAGCGATGCCAAACTACGGCCTGTACTGGTCAGGCCGCTTGACGAGGAGGCGCGTGGTATGACTTGGTTTTGCCTGGAAGCGAAAGCGGGGTAGGTAATTCACGCTCTGAACTTTTTCCTCCTCTGAAGCTTGTGCACACCGTCCACAGCCCTGAAACCCTGAGAGTCCCCAACGCATCGACAACCCGCCCCCTTCACAACGGACGGAGGCGCAGGTACGCGTAGCCCAGCGCGGAGGCCGTCACCGAGGCGAGGGCGACGCCCGCGGAGCCTCCCGCGGCGCCAGGGGCGAGTAGTCGCCGTCGCCGTCGCCATGGCCGTCGTCACTGGCCGTCGACGTCGCTCACAATCGTGGTCGTCGTCATCGCCGTCGATGTCGTCGACATCGTCGTAGTCCTTGCCATCGCTCGCCGTCGCCGTCGTCGTCGTCGCCATTGTCGGCATCGTCGCCGTAATCGTCGTAGTCGATATGGTCGTCGTCGCAATCGCTCGCAACTGTCATCCTCCCCCTCCTCCTTTTCCTGCTGCCCCTCCAGGGCAGGCGACAGAGATCTGCCGTTCCTGCCACGGCTTGCGAGGCGGAAGTCCCTGTGGGAATTCTCCTCCATCAACAATTCGCGCCTCAGAAATCCGATGCAACGACGCACCCACAAATACCGTTCGGCCTGGCACTTTGATTTGTAAAGAATGGTCATGCCGGAAAGGGGGGGGAGGGGCGTTGAGAGCAGGCCTCAGGAAGGTTTTACGAATAGCCCTCAGAGTTGCAGATCAGAGTCAGGGGGCGGCGTGGTCGTCGACAGTCTGCGAGGCTCAGAAAAGAAAGGTTTGTTCGACACTCCACAAGGGGCCCGCCGCCGGCGCCGAATGTTCGTCCATGATGGCACGGGATCCCGCCAACCCACCCGTCCCCGCGATCCCTGGAGGAACCCTCGGGGGGCATGCCCCAAGCCGAGCGCCGAGCGACAGTGCTGCGAAAGCTGCAGGGCGCGGGCTTGGGACCGAGGGTCCAAGACCACCTGGGAAAAGGCACTGCGAAGGATATCGGCACTTTCAAATCGCAACACGCTCAACGTCTGGGGACTGTCGGGGATGACGGGCTTGACGCCGTAGTGATATTCAAAATTCCGCCATCGCACGAACCTCACTCCGAAGTGCCTCTGCGGCGTATAGCATTGCCGACGACGGCGCCAGGGGGCAGCGGTTAAGCTCAAAAGCGGGGCGGGGTCGGGGATCTGCTGGCCCGGGTCAATCCAGACCCGGATCAGTCAGGCTTTGCAGGATCCTGCAAAATCCTGCAGGATCCTGCAGGGTCTTGCACCCAAGCCCGGGTCAATGCGACCCTGGCTCTGCAGGATCCTGCATGATCTGGCGACCTGGCTGATCTCCGTTTGCACTGACCCCCGTCTCTTGAGCCCCGACGGAGGCCAGAAGCAGCCCCCCCCGGGGGCCCCGAGGAAGGGCTTGGGCCGAGCCTCTGGGGAGCCACGCAGGGCCTCCCAGGGGATGCCCCAGAGGGGACTTCGGGGACGGGCGCCGTGTGAGGAGGGCTCCCGCTCGAGCGGGACCCCGCCCGCCCCCGCGCCCCCGGGAGGCGCCCTGGACCGTTCGGGGGGCGCGCTGGGCCCACTGTGGGCCCAGCGCCCTAGCGGGGCCCTTGCCAACAGTCCAAGACCAAGGGGCGGCGCGAGGGAGGGTGCGCGAGGAGGATGGGCATCGGCAGGAGCAGCTGGACGAGGGCAGGCAAAGAGAGAGAGGGGGCAGGCGAGGATGGGGAGGTGGTGGACGAACGAGACGCAACGGACTGTGCTTCCCGACCTGCGCCAGCACCGCGCCTGGCGCACGGGCCCAGCGCAATGCCTCATCCACACCTGCACCAGACGTGCGCGAGGATCTGAGAAAAGCGCCCTGGGGCGGCGCCGGGCCACCCCGATAGCGCGCACAGGGAGGTGGTGCAATTCCTGGTCGCGAGTCGAAGCAATGTGGGTGCGTCGCGGGTGGGTCGCGGGTGGGTTGCGGATGGGGCGCGAGCGGGTCGCGGGTGGGTCGCGGGCGGGTCGCGGGCGAGGACGACAGCAACAACAAACGAGACAAACCCTCACTGCGGAAGTCCGCTTCAGGCACGCACCCAAGGATTGTGCAAGACCGTTCGGCCACCTCACTCTAATATTGCAGGTACTCGCATGTCCTCCCCTGCCCGCAATGTTTTCCCGACCCCTCCTGATCCTGCCGTGCGGGCAACCACTCTCATTACTGATGTGGCAAGATCACCATCAAGGCGGGGGCGCGGGAAAGCCAGCAAACCTAGACTCGCCAGCGGTCAAGAGCTGGTCTCTGGAAGAGCCGGCGCTGGCCAAGAACAGATGAGGGCGTTTGACGCTGAAGCACGGGAAATGCCTCGGGAGATGTGGCCCTGTTTCAAACGCCTAGGGGCTGATGTGTCCACATGTAGTGGATGGGTGTGGCTCCTGTGCTTGGGATGCCGCTTCACTACCGCCTAGACATATCCAAACTGCCTGCAACCACATGCGAACATCCGACCTGTGGCTGTAAATCCCCTGCTTCGGAGCTTTGGTTATCTTCCTACTTGCTCCTCTCGATGGGAATAATGCGCACTCACACAAGGTGGCCTCGCTGGCTCTGCTGTTCGTGACACTCTCTCGTTATACTTTTTCAAATGAATGACAATCAGCTTCAGAAAAAAAAGAAGCTAGCGGTCAAAGAGCATCAACATCGTCCCCAAAGAGCGTCATAGCGTCACTCAATACCAATTGTGGGAATCGCATGGTTGAACACTCTTCCCACAACGCCCTTGCCCTTTCTCCCACTCCCCGCGGCCGCCCGCTCTTCCGTCCTCCCCTCCCCTTGCATGGTGGACAATTCGCCACAACGGTGCCCCCATTTAGATAGCTCATCCGCCAGCGCAGGACGACCCCTGCCTAGACGCCGACGGAAAAGTTCAGCACTCTTGTGGTGATCCATGGGCCGCGACCGGGGCCCACTTACTGTTATATCCCACAGAAGGCTTGGACAAAGTCTGAGCGCGCCTGAGCATTTGGGTAATATGAACATTGGGGCAACTGCCAGCTGAGATCATGCCGTGATCAAGTGTGATTGGCTCTGTTATTGAACCACTCGGACCCAAACTCATTACACTTCGACGTGTGTGTAGGAACACCAAGTGACCAAGGACACACAATACCCCACGCTGTAACGAAAAAAAGAATTCCGAATCAATTGCGGAGGAGGCGACCGCCCCGGCATGTCCATAAGCCTACCACGAAGTGCTCTTAGAATAAACATAATGCTCGGATCATATAAACAAAATTATTTCAACATGGCGCCGATGTATTATAACAAGATGGTCGCAGCCAAAAGCTGTCCACGAACATTTAGTGCAGACCAGAGGAGGTTCATCGGAACATTCTTTGCTTGAAGGACGGCGTGTGCTCAAGGCTCTGTCAACCACTCCATCATGGTGTGTGTACCAAGGCTGAACCTAAACGGTGTTTTTCGTTTCCGTTTTGTTTTCGTGTTCCCTAGTTTTGTCTTCGACCCGTCTTTGACGCAAAACGAGCTCGAAACGAAAACGGCCCACGAAATCGCCCAAACACCGTTTAGGTCCAGCCCTGCTCTGTCAACCACGCCCCCATGGCGTGTGCCAACTGTGCCTCCGGAGCCCGACGGCTCCACGGGCATGATGGTATCTGGGTAGTCGAAGCCAATCTGGCGCCAATCTGGCAGGCCCAATCTGGCAAACGGGGGCAATCTGGCGAGGGAGCCAACGCGAATCCAGTCTGGCGAATAACCCAAATCATCCAGTTTGGCTGGGCCAGATTGGCCCTTGGGGCCCAATCCAATCTGACAGTCTGGCCTTCGACTACCCAGCCTGCTAGCTCGCGCACGCTTGACGTGGCGGTCCCCGCGGATCCGCGGACGAACTGTACCCAGGCAAGGTCCCTGCAGACACACACTCCTCTGAGATGGATCTTCCCCTGGGCGCGGCCACTGTGATCCCTAAGACACTAAGACAGCCCCAGGATGGCCCAAGGGAGCGCCGAGGGTTCCGAGACGGCCCAAGAGCGCTTCAAGACGGCCTAAGATTGCCACAAAGCAGCCCAAAGGGCTCCCAAGATGGCCCAAAGCGCTCCAAGCCGGCCCGAGATGGACAAAACGTTCTCTTGGACAACCTCCAAAGGAGCCCAAAGAGGCAATCATCGTAAGTAGCCCTCCGGCTGCAATTGATTTTACCATTGTCTTGCTTCGGAGCTTCCGACGTCCAGGCACAGTCCAAGAGGGTTTTCAGACCGCTCCGAGACAGCCCGACAGGCCCACGACAGAGCCTCAAAATCCAAGACGGCCCAAAAGGCCCCCAAGACGACACGCGAGAAGCACTCCACAATACGGGAAATCGAAGAACTGTTGAAAATCTTGTCCTGCGGCCTCCAAGGCCGACAGCAGGGCCGCAAGAGCCTCCCAAAGCCACAAGAGGCCCCAATGGGCAACCAGAAAACCCGGAGAGGCCCCGAGAGATCCCAGGAGGTCGCAACGAGGCTCCCAGTAATGCCCCCAAAGGCCCCCCGAGCGGCATCCAAAGAGAACCCGAATCTTCCAACACCCCTCTGACCCACGACTCAGGCACAATGGCGAGATGCACTGACAGAACTTCGGCGGGGCCGTTCTCACTCGATCGTTGCCTCGCAACTACTACTACTCTGCGACTGTTTTTTCTCAGAGCGAGGTTCACGTGAGAGCTCAAGGAAAGGGCCACCACCCTCACACATGTCACCCAGCCTCCGAAAACACGCAGCCAAGTGCCATCGATGATACAGTTTGGGCCGGCGGGATAAGCGAAGCGATTGAATGAATGCATGCAACTTTCAACATGAGAGGTTACACACACGAGCGATCAACGCAGGACCAAGCGGAGAGGGAACCATAGCGAGGGCATAACATGCAATCCAACATCACGTTCACGGCCTCACACAGGCACAACAGCATTCACATGTAAACAACATAAACACAATTATACAACAACGCAATCCGCGATAACTGCTAGAGCCAGACAGACTGGAAAGCCTCACACCAAAAACACACATGCTCCAACTTCATGTCACCACGCTAGCATCCGCGATAGAGGTGCTCAACCTACCAACTGCTACAATTTTCCCATGGCGTACACCAGCCATGCCAAGAGACATCTACCCTGCATCACATGGGTTGTATCTCGTGACCGCATGCCTCGAAGAAATGGATCCATGATGGTGGATCTATCCGCAAGACGTGTCAAATTTCGGTGCCTCGACTCTCTCACTCACACATGTCGCGATCACACGGCTCATACTGGTATGCGCCACACGGCACATGAAAACTCAACTTAAGTCCCAATTGCCAGTCATGGTGGGCACGATAGCGTAGCGACAAACTGCTAATACAACTGCGCCCTGCGCCATCCGCTCTCCAAACACGCGCACTATGTGACAGCAAGACCGGCCAGAGCAGAGTATCCATAGGCTCGAGCAACTATGTCGATCATTAGCTGCCGCTCGCTCGCACGCAATTGCAAACTACGGTCGGGAAACTACTGACGGAGCACACGCGCTGAGCAGGTGGAGGCCTCCTAGATGGAGTCCGAGAAGATGGGGTCGGATGATCTCGCCGCATCGCCGATACATCGGCGATGCATCGCCGATGCAATCGGCGATGCCTCGGCCATGCACTGGCGACGTCGGCGATGCATCGGCGACGTCGGCGTGGAGAAAATTGGGCCCCCTATCGAGCCGCATCGCCGATGCATCGCCGATGCGGCGCGATCCTCCGACCCCATCTACTCCGACCCCATCTAGGAGGCCTAGAGCAGGGGCAAGGGAATCACACAGAATGTACCGAAAAAGCTCGCCGCCAACAACGGAAGTGTGCTCGGAGAGCACAGTGCAACACCACACACACGAGTAGGGCAAAGCAGGCGCGCCAAGCCGATGAGCGTGACCATCAAAGGCGTGGTACCATCCTGACCAGCTGGGCCCACGGCACAACTGCCTTCCAGCAACGACTACCCATGCGAGTGTGGGAATGAAGAACGGCCGCAACCGTGCAAGCAGGATAAGCCTCTTATGCTCCAGAGCTTCATAAGAGAGACCGAGGCGTGAGACAGATTGGGCCTGGCACTCGCGATGTGCAAAAAGACTAAAGAAGAGGTATTCATCATAAACCATCTTAAGAACCCAATCTTACGGGCCCTGGAAGCGGCAGAGCCGGTCCCTAAACCCGTGACCGAAAATCCAACCTGTAATGATGAAACACGCTGATGTCCATCCAGACACACTGACCGACAAACAACAGAAACACAATGCCAAATGGGAACCATAAACAACAACTGCGACGGCACCAGACAAACAACAGCAAAACAACAAAGCCGAACACAAAAAACGGGTCTGTCGCTTCCAGGGGTCACTCAGGTAGCAAACATGCCGCGCGCGAACGGCCGCCTGCGGCGAACAGGGTCAATTCTCAAGAATCCCGAATCATGCACCGCTGGCGTTGGGGAACATGGTCCGCACGCCCAGGCGATCAGGTGCAAGGACTGTTGTGGGATCGAGGATCGGCACCCTGCAGTGTCGTCAGGTTCGGCGGATTCTTGAACGAAATCAGGCAAAGGGCGCTGCGCGCATTTGGTGGTGGGGTGCGTGTGATTCGGCGCAGGGGGGGCGGCGGGGGGGGGGGGGGGCGTACCGGCGTACCGCGGCTGCAATTTCAACCATCGCCACCCGCACAATCGGTGGTGGGTACGATGGCCATGGAGAGCATGACCATGATGGCCATCATACTGGTGATAACCAAGCTGACAGTACAACATGCTGATTACCGTGGTGATGGCCGCAATTGTGTAGGGTAGGCTATGATTGACGACGGACGGGAGCATGGCGATGAGCAACGTACTGGCCAATAAGAAGGCACACACCACAATGGGCCACGGCGGCAATGTTCGCAATGAAGATGACTTGGCCTCCCCATTCCCCCCAAAAGTCCTAGCGATGACGTTCCTTTGAACTGGGGGGGAATGGCTTGGGGTTTAAAGGGGAAGAGTGCGCCTGCCACGGGGCATCGAGCGGGAACGGCCGAGTACGACACCGCTGCAACTATGGGGCAACTATCATAGGGCACCGAGCCAAGGAACCATAGTGCATCAAGACACCGAGCGAGAATGGCCGACAGCCGCACCACAGGAGTCATGGCGTACCACGGGGCAGCGACCAGCCATAGGAAGTCAGGGCACCAGACCAGGAAGGTCAAACCGCACCAACCATACGGCACCCAACCAAGAAATCACAGCCAGCCTTAAGACATCGAATGGGAACGGCCGGCTGCTGCGCCGATGGAGCCATGGGGTACCTGCCAAAGAGGGTGCCGAGCCAGGGTGACAGAGGGCACACACCAGGGCACCAATCAGGCACGGCCGACTACAGTGTCGCGAGCCAGTTCCCTGCAAACGCTATGAGAACCTCCAGGTGCCAACACACCTCAGGGAACATGCGAATGCTGGGGGCGAGAGCTCCGCCTCTCGATGGCTTGGAGAAAGAGGTTAGCTATCGATTGCCTCAGTTAATTTCTGTTACTCGCGAACTAGGTGGTGCACAGTCTATGTGGTGCATTTCACCCTGCCGAACTTTCAATTGTCAACTCCACTGCTCGAGCGACCGTCCTATCCGCCCACCCTCGGCTTGTTTTGCAAAATTCATGCGGCGGCGATTGCGATGACTGCTTGTCGCTGGATGGCGCATCGCTGCGTCCGCGCTGACGCGCGCAGGCTCGCGCACAGAGCGACCAGCTAGTCTGGCGCGGCCGACGCGGCCGCGGTGCTGGGGACGCCCCAACGAGTCTCGCAGGCCGCGCTGACGCGCGGGCACTGCAGTGCGAGTCAGTGAATCGGGCAGCCGCGGTATCATGGCGATGTCGACAACGGCAGACACGATGATAATAGTAGCGATGCTGGCGACGGCGGTGAGGACGACGATGGCACAGCCAAAGACGGCGCCGATGCTGGTCAAGCCGATGACGATGATGGTGCCCACGCGTCGGCAACCAAAAACTTTGAAAGGATCTCGACATGCGCGCGCGGCCGACGGGCGCGAGTGGCCCGCCTGATGTCACTTGACACGGACCATGCCCACCCCTCGATTGACTTCGACGTGCGTTCGATTGATTCGACATGCGTCGACTGGTTTTGACATGCGAGCGCACAGAGGCGTTCGATGAACTTCGACATGCGCGCGCGAGAGGCCCGCGTGGTCGCATCGTGCGAACATTTTAAACCGATGGTTTCCAGAGAAGGACTGGCAAGAGCGCGCGCGCAGATTTTTCGAATTCAAACATGACGCAAAAGATGATCGAGAACATCGATCTTGAAATCCGTACGACACCGAAGATTCATCGAGGAGATTGGCGTGCCCAGCACGCGCGCAAAAGCGTTAAAAGATTTCACATGTGCGCGCGAGAGGCCGGCTTGGTCGAATGTGACGACCCTGTTGAGAACAAAACTGTTCTCTTCAGCATTCAGAGTGTGAGCGCCAGGTTTTTCATTAGTACACCCAAGCATGGTGGCACACCAAATGCTCGCTGTGTTCGAGAACCTCGATCTTGAAATTGTTGCGAAAACATGGGTTGTTCCAAGGATTCCAGCATGCGTGCGCGACGACGCGCGCGTGTGGAGTGTGTCTTCGTCTCTGCCAGGGACTCTTGGAAACTTCTGATTTGTGATAAGCATGTGCGCGCATAATACCATTTGACGACAATGCGGGGGGCTGGCGGTACCGGCTGGGCCGATATGGGGACTTCCCGTTTGTTCTGTCACGTTCGGTTGGTCCCGAAGTTCCCCTGGAACTGGGGGCAACCCCAACAGCAACTCCGTCAATGTGGCCTTCAAACGTGGCGCACTTACACCCAGGTCATCCCAAGTCAGGGCATCTCGGAGCTAGGGATTCCGTGGATGTCTCAGGCGCAACGGGCCTGAGCACATCGCGGACCACGTCTTTGAGTCAAGAGTTGTGGTAACGTCTCAAGCGAAACGAGCCAGAGGAGCACCTCAATTCAGAGCATCTCGCAGTAGCCCGGTGTTCGGAGGATGTCTCAGGCGAAACGGGCCTCAATACCTCGCGAACCACGTCTTGGATTCCGAGGATGTCTGAGGCGAACCGGGCCAGAGCACCTCGCGAGCCGCATCTTGGAACGCAGAGGTGTGAGTTACGAGGATGTCTCAATCCCAGCGGGCCAAAGAACCTCAAATCAAGGCACCTCGGAGCCGGGGAATCCCAGGATGTCTCAAGCGAAACGGGCCCGAGCAGATCGCGAACCACATGTTCAACGCAGACTTGCGAGGACTTCCCAGGCCAAACGGTCAGAGCCAGAGATTCCGAGGATGTCTCAAGCGAAACGTGCCTGAGTGCCTCGCGAACTACATCTAGGAACCCAGAAAGGTGAGGACGTCTCAAGCGAAACGGGCGAGAACACCTCAACTCAGGGCATCTCGAAGCCTGGGGTCCCGAGGATGTCTCAGGCGAGCAACGTAATGAGGATGTGTGCAGTGAAACGGGACTGAGCATCTCAAGTCAGGACACCTCGGAGCCTGGGGTTCCGAGGATGTCTCAAGCGAAACGGGCCCGAGCATGTCGCGAACCACATCTTCAACCCAGACTTGCGAGGACGTCCCAGGTCAAACGGTCAGAGCCAGAGATTCCGAGGATGTCTCAAGCGAAACGTGCCTGAGTGCCTCGCGAACTACATCTAAGAACCCAGAAAGGTGAGGACGTCTCAAGCGAAACGGGCGAGAACACCTCAACTCAGGGCATCTCGAAGCCTGGTGTTTTGAGAAACGGGCCTGAGTACCTCGCAAACCACATCTTGAAATCGAGAATTGCATGGACGTCTCAAGCGAAGCGAGCCAGAGCACATCAAATCAGGGCATCTCGGAGCCCGAGGTTCCGAAGATGGCTCTGTGTGGGTCTTGGGGGCACCCACCTGTTTTGAAGGCCATCCCTCCCCGGCACCTCCCCTGCGCACCCGTTGTGGTTGCCGGGGTCGGCTTGAAAAGTCCAGGGTGGTGCTCAGGTGCACTGCCCCCCCCCCCCGCCAGCCAAGGCACGCCATGGATGGGGCCTAAAAGAGCCCCCCAAACCAACTCAAGTGGCCAGCGAGGACCAGATGTCTCCGAAACACACATGCACCCCGTACAACAAACGGACGGTTCGAGACATCCCCACAATCTGGGCGCGAACGGGCCCGTGACACACCCTTCGTCGGCAGAGCATCAGCCCGCATCACCAGGCGCGATCGAGCTGCGTTTAGCTCTGGCGACGAGAAGTGTCCCGAGAGCATTGAAAACACGAGCTCTTTCCAGACACCAATACGAGCAGTATCCTTCCCCCCCGTCCTCAACCATCCTGCTACGCATCCCACTCCTCCTTCGCTTCGCACTCCTCAACGGTTACTGGAATTGCGGGGACGTCTCATGCGAACCTGGCTGGACCTAAACATGATATATATATATATATATACATACATACATACATACATACATACATACATACATGCATGCATGTATGTATGCATACATGCATACATACACGCATACACATACACACATAATGCATACATACATACATACATACATACATACATACATGCATGCATGTATGTATGCATACATGCATACATACACGCATACACATACACACATAATGCATACATACATACATACATACATACATACATACATACATACATACAAACAAACATACATACATACATACATACATACATACATACATACATACATGAATGCATGCATGCATGCATGCATACATACATACATACGTACATACATACATACATACATCCATACGTACATACATACATACAAATTTACCCTGTGACGTGCCCAGCCCACGTGCATCAAGTGGCAAGAGGCGTAGGCCAACATTAACAGGAACAACGAAC